GTTCACCCTAATTAATACCTTTTGTTAACAGGGGGTGAAGTGATACTGCCAATGGCAGCGCTGTAGCAGAATAAAGTAAACCAACCAATCAGAATAAAGTAAACAAACCAATCAGAATAAAGTAAACCAACCAATCAGAATAAAGTAAACAAACCAATCAGAATAAAGTAAACCAACCAATCAGATTAAAGTAAACAAACCAGTCAGAATAAAGTAAACCAACCAATCAGATTAAAGTAAATAAACCAGTCAGAATAAAGTAAACAAACCAATCATATTGAAGTAAATAATCTGATCAGGATGATTTAATCTGGTCTTCAGTGGGAGAACGAGCAGCTGCACAGCCTGGAGGAGCGAGGTCGTCTTCTTCTGTCCCTACAGTTTCTGTCTCCGGTGGTGTTGGACGATGCTGACGCTGACAGAGGAGGAGGAGGAGATGAAGGGCGGCCTGGAGGCGGGCTCTGTGTGGGCGTGAAGCGCTGCGCTCACCTGGCAGCCATGGATGTTAACGGATTCTCTGACCCTTACGTCAAAATGTAAGAAGGTTTGAGTGAAACTCTGTTTTTAGAAACTGTTGAGTTCTCAGGTGGACTCTGCCTGAGGAGCAGATCTTCACAGGTTCTGGACCACCTGTAGGGCTTTTACTGCTAGGAGCTGAAGGTATCCATGCACAGAACCAGGGTTGGTGTCAGACTGAGACAGGAACAGGGTCAGAGAAGATCCACTCATCAGGATCCTTCTGACCTTTGGTGGAAACTAGAAGATGGAAGATGGACAGAGAGGGTTTTTAATGTTAAAGAACTTATCTGTGATGAAAACCAGTTTAAAGGAGTTCTGATTCAGGTGTGGATCTGTCTGAGACCATCCAAGACCAGCTGAGACCATCCAAGACCAGCTGAGACCATCCAAGACCAGCTGAGAGCAGCTGAGACCATCCACTACCAGCTGAGACCATCCAAGACCAGCTGAGAGCAGCTGAGACCATCCAATGCCAGCGGAGACCAGCTGAGACCATCCACTACCAGCTGAGACCAGCTGAGACCATCCAATGCCAGCGGAGACCAGCTGAGACCATCCAATGCCAGCGGAGGCCAGCTGAGACCATCCACTACCAGCTGAGACCAGCTGAGACCATCCAATGCCAGCGGAGACCAGCTGAGACCATCCAATGCCAGCGGAGGCCAGCTGAGACCATCCAAGACCAGCTGAGAGCAGCTGAGACCATTCAAGACCAGCTGAGAGCAGCTGAGACCATCCAATACCAGCGGAGACCAGCTGAGACCATCCAATAACAGCTGAGACCATCCAAGACCAGCTGAGACCAGCTGAGACCATCCAATACCAGCGGAGACCAGCTGAGACCAGCTGAGACCATCCAATACCAGCTGAGACCAGCTGAGACCATCCAAGACCAGCTGAGACCAGCTGAGACCATCCAAGACCAGCTGAGACCATCCAAGACCAGCTGAGATCATCCAAGACCAGCTGAGACCAGCTGAGACCAGCTGAGACCATCCAAGACCAGCAGAGACCATCCAAGACCAGCTGAGACCAGCTGAGACCAGCTGAGACCATCCAAGACCAGCTGAGGCCAACTGAGACCAGCTGAGACCAGCTGAGACCATCCAAGACCAGCTGAGGCCAACTGAGACCAGCTGAGACCAGCTGAAAAATTCTCCTGGATCATGTCCATCACAGACTCTGATGTGTAACAGATCTCATGAGATCTGGATCTGGACCTGGATCTGGATCTGGTGATCTGTTTCAAGATGCTTCAGTTTGTTTTTATTTTATTTGTTTGAGTTTCTCAGATTAAACCTTAAAACATCTCAACGTCACAAAGATTAAAATGTTTTTGTGGTTTTAGTTTCACTCAGTGAAGATCAATCAGTTGTTGTTGTTTGTTTGTTGTGCTTGTTGTTTGGCATGTGTTTGTTTATTTTCTTTGTTGTTTGTTTATTTTTGTTAGTTTATTGTGTTTGTTTGTTGTTGTTGCTGTTTATTGTTTGTTGTTTGTCATTTTAACTTGTTGCTGTTGTTGATTGTTGTTGTTTGGTGTGTGTTTGTTGTTTGTTTGTTTTCATTAGTTTGTTTATATTGTTTGTTGTTGTTTTTTGTGTGTTTGTTGTTTGTTTATTTTCATTAGTTTGTTGTTGTTTTTTGTGTGTTTGTTGTTTGTTTGTTTTCATTAGTTTGTTGTTGTTTGTTTGGTGTGTGTTTGTTGTTGTTCTGTCTGGTTTCTGAGTGGATGAATGAGGAGGAAAGGCTGGTGTTGTGTCAGCGGGGAACCATCTTGGATCTGTGTTTTCTGCTCTGATTGTTTGTGACTCTGAGCCATGAAGCCGTGACGAATCCTCAGAATGCAGAGATTTAAAATCAGAAACATCACGTCGTGTCTCAGCTTCAGTCAGCTCCAAACTCAGAGCCTGTTTCTCCCTGAGGATTATTGAAAATAAAGATCTGAAAGGAAAACAACAACAAAGGTTTTGTTTTGACCTAAATCTCCATTTTCTCCATGTTGAGCCTCAGCTCCACCTCCTCTAAACAGGAAACACTTTCAGGCTTTTATTTTGACACAATCTGTGGTTTTTAGGATGTTTGGCGTTTCTGTGGTTTCTGGTTTGAGTTCAGTTGTTCCTTTGAGCCACATCTTCCTCAGTACTTGTCCACCTGTCCCACAGCCACAGCTGCAGCCACTCTGCTCATCAGTTTCACCTCGTCAACCAAACGGTTCCAGTGGGGTTCTGCCTTTTATCTGGACCCTGGCAGGGTCTAAAAGATGTTTGTTGGTTCAAAGTTGTGTTTTATTTGCTGCAGAGTCAAATATTCAGCACTAGTTTGAGAGGAAGTCATCGTCCTGCAGAGACGCAGCCTGAGAACCTGAGCTGGAACATCCAACATGTCTGATTCTCCTCCTCAGATACCTGAAGCCCGACTCCCAGAAGAAATCCAAACACAAAACATCAGTGATGAAGAAGACCCTGAACCCAGACTTTAACGAGGTACGAAGGTTAACGAGCTGCTGCTGGAGGTTCTGATCACCTCCGGGTCAGTCTGTTCAGAGGAGTTTCTGTGAAACCAGATCTGCTGTTCAGTTCAGGTTTTAAGGTTTTTCTTGTTAGAATGAACTTTAAAATAAAACCTCTGAAATAATTTAATTTGTCATTAATCCTGTTTAAGGAAAGTGTTGGAGGTAGATGAACAGAACCAGTAACACTCTGATGTTTTGGGCTTTCTGCAGGAGTTCTTTTATGAGATCTCTCTGTCGGAGCTGACCAAGAAGACCCTGGAGGTGACGGTGTGGGACTACGATCTGGGTCGGTCCAACGACTTCATCGGTGAGACCACCGGCACCAAACATACAGAACCTTAACGGGTCTTTTATTTTGTAAAAAGATTTATTTCCTTTCTGAACCCAGCAGAGACGCTAACAGAACTCTGTGTCCTCCAGGTGGTGTCTGCCTGAGCTGCCGCTCCCAGGGAGACGCCCTCCGTCACTGGATGGACTGCCTGAAGAACAAGGGCCTGAAGGTGGAGCGGTGGCACATCCTGACCAATGAGCTGCCACGAAGCTTCAGCCACGACTAGCAGCTAACGCTATAACTACTGACTAATACTGCCACTGACAGCTAAAGCTACAACTAGCAGCTAACGCTACAACTACTGACTAATACTGCCATTGACAGCTAAAGCTACAACTAGCAGCTAACGCTACGATTACTGACTAACACTGCCATTGACAGCTAAAGCTACAACTAGCAGCTAACGCTACGACTACTGACTAATACTGCCATTGACAGCTAAAGC